TCCGTGCTTGAAAAATAGGTAAGATACAGAATTTGAAATGCAATAAAGTGGCGAAATTGACTTATATTTGAAAATTTCATGTATGATCTGTTACTTGGTGGTTACTGAGATAGACGGCAGTTTAGGTCCCGAGTTTTTATTGGAACATACACTCGACACATTGCACTGTTTTGAAATCTTTTCAAGATAATATTTGCTCATGGGATTCACAGATGTTCATTTTATGTGAGTTGTCACTTTTTTAATGACCTGTCGTAAACTAAGGTACAAGTGGTTTTTCTTTTATACATTTCTCGATAGCTGGATTGCACCAGCAATTACACGACCGAGCAACTCTGTAGCGAAAAGAACTGCATCCATAACTAACTCAACTTAGTAAACTGCAGTTCAAGAAAAAAATTTTCAATTGAAAGCAGCCTTAAGCAAGCATGTCATAAGAACAGAACATTCAATTAGTTTTAGTAATAATTTGATTCTGGAATATGATAATAGACACTACCGTTTGATTACCAGACATTTGGGCGTGCGACATTTGGGCGCATGTAGGACAAAAGCATTTGGTAATAGTACATTTGTTACAGCATGATGCATAACGATAAAATATTCTTTAAACAAACTCGGTACGGTGTGAGAGCTTTTTCCAAATTACTCATATCCAACTGTAACCACTGTTTGTTTAATCATCACCGATACTCACACTCACATGCACCCTTACCCGCACTCACACCAAGGCCTTTGAACTTCAACTATCGTTGCGCCCAAATGTCGATATACGCTCCCGTTTGCTAGTAAAAGAATCTCTAGCGATCCGATCAAAACCAACAATCTTTAACAGTACCGATTATGCCGTACCGTTGTGTGTTTATCCAGAGGGGTATTAAAGACAAAAAGAAAATTTTAAGAAAAGAAAGAAGAAAACAGTGATAGTTATCGACTGAACGTACACGAACAATATCAAACAGTCTATTTTCTTCTTTTTGTATTCCATTCTGTTCTGCAGTGTCTACTTACAGTATGTGTAAGAAGCACTGTTATCCGTTTTATACCGTTAGATAGAGCAAAGTTTGCTCTACATTTCCAGTCATTCAAAAAAAGTTTAATGATCTTAGATGAGTCTGTAATGAGTCTTCTTTTACACTCAGTCGACTTTTGGAACACTTCGAAAGACGAAAGTCCCAGCTTTCTAATAAAAAAAAGTAATTAAAAAGGTCCCCTCTAAAGGTCCCAAAATTGAAAACTGCGGACACCGCCATGAAATTTGTTTAAAACACGATCGGAGAGAAAAGAAAAAAATCCACCCCCTACAGGGGGTGCCTCAGGTTTTTGCGCCTTTTAGGCTATCTATAAACGGATATTCTATTTCTAAATCACTTTTTTAGAGGTTATTGACTATGTTCTTTCGAATGACGCATATGAGAAAGCTATACGAGCTCGTTTTCGGATTCTCAGCATTTTTAATGACGGTACCCGACGGAAAAAGTGAACATGGTTAAGTAAGGGTGTTGTAAACCATTGCGTTCGAAAGAACATAGTCAATAACCTCTACAAAAGTGATTTAGAAATAGAATATCCGTTTATAGATAGCCTAAAAGGCGCAAAAACCTGAGGCACCCCCTGTAGGGGGTCGATTTTTTTCTTTTCTCTCCGATCCACTTCAGCTGCTTGAAAAGCACATCACCCGACGCAGTTTTCTACGCGGATTCCAAATATGACCTTGGGTTTGAGTTTCGATCGAGTTTCGATGTAAAAAACCTCGAAAAACTGTAAAATCAGGCGTCACCTGGCCATCTTGTTTGTCTTTTTTCAGCGTGTTCCGACACTTTTTTGTCAAATATTTTTCATGCATTTTGCTCAAAATTGAAAGCTCCATCTGCCATAAAAATTTGGTTCTCAGATGAGCGTCTTTAAAAAAGTTATTCGCGATTTACTGAGAAATTTTGGGATTTTGAAACATCGAATTTTTCAGTTTTTTAGTTTTTTGAGCCCACAAAGTTTAATCAGTTTGACTTTGAAAGACATTTCTAAAGACAATTTTTAATGCGCTTTTTAATGAAACGTGGTTTGGCCGAAACGAATTAAATTTAGTGAAGTTACAAGGAAAATACTGAAACACTCCCTTTTTCGAGGTTTTTTTCGACCTGCTCCCTTTAAAAATTCCATTACTCGGTCAATTTGCGTCCAAACTCGCTAAAAAAAATTTCGTCACCCCAGTTTTGAGTGCTGAATCGAATGACGTTAGTTTGAGAAAAATCTGAGACTCAATGTTTAACGGCTTAGTGCAGGGATACTCGATTTTCTCGTGCACTATTTCTTAATCTTTCCCCCAATGACAGAGAGCGAAAAATAAGATGCGACTAATTTCGAACGTCGCAAGTTAGAAGCGTTGGAGTACCTACGTATTTGATGCCACATGTGATTCATGTGTTGTCTTTTTGTGATTTGAGAAAAAATAGTGATTCTATCGTAGCGGACGAACTAACTTTGTCCTAAATAGGTTAAAATAGTTGGACGTTAGGATGTGTGTTTATTTTATTGTCAATTGTAATCAACTGGAATGCAGACATTTGTTGGCGAATAAAAAAATGCATCGATCATGTTACTTCTTTCAATGCTTCGCCGGAAGTCAATAAATTTGTTTAATAGTAAAAAAATTTTGTTGGTTAACGTAATTCAATATTTTGATACTGATAAGTTAGTTCATAGTGCGAATTTGGAATTTGTTGGTTCAGGGTAAAGACAGGGTAAAACGACGTTTTTTTATTTGATACTAGGTCATTTACGTCAAGAATTTGTCTGTAATCAATAAAAACATCATTAATAGTTAAATTTGATCGTAGTATCTAAAGTTTCTCGATTAATAAACTGACAGCCTAAAAGAGCAAAAGAGGTACTTTTGACTTGCATAAAAAGTTTTTTGAGTTAAGAGAAAGAGGGTTAATTGGCCGAGCATTCGAAAACAACATGTAAACAGCCTGTAAAGTTACCTTTGTGATTTGTGAGAAAAACACAGATAGGAAATTGAACTTTAAGATATTGATTTGAAAATGTTCCGATTATCTTTCAAAAAAGTCTTACAAGCTTTGTTTAAAAATATTGCTGTTGAGTGACGCTGATCAGATCTAAGTCTAGATGTTCGAAGATGTACGAGAAGTCAGTCCAGTTCAGCTGTGAATGTGTAACTAAAAATTTTGAGTAACTCTTTTCGAGTATATCTTTTGGTGAAGGAACAAAAAATGTACTTTTTGGTAGTAGTTATTTCATTTGAAACGCCGCAAAACAAGATCGGACACACAACAGTCTCTATTGATAGGATAAGCTTCCAATCTCATCTTTAATATTTTCTTTGGCCAAAAAGATGCATTCAGAGCTGCGAGTAATTTATCGAATACGAAGAATGGAGTTTTGTAAACGCAGATAAAATAATGTCTCAGAATCATAGTTATAATTCATTATGGCGCATCGACACGTCAGTCTGAATCAACCTAGAAAAGAACTCAGATAAAGAGAATTAGAGGATTTTACGCTTTGCAAGGCGACATATAAAAACTATCGCAATGTAAACTAAAGCTAATCTTATTTGAACCAAAACCAAACAATAATTCCAATCATACATGAGTAAAGGTTTACTTTGAATCTGAAGAAAGTAGTAGAGCCACTGTTCCGGTCTAAATGGAACGCGAGAAGGAAGCTGATGCCCCTCCTTTTAACTGTTGACCTCGAGGCTCTTACACTTTTTGATCTTCAATTTCGCTGAATTTTTCTAAATCAGTTTCTCACGTATCTCTAAGCTCTCGTCGAAAAATTACGCAGAACTTCATGGAAGATGAACTTGGATAGACGTAGGGTAGGACAGTGTGATTTAGTTTAGAAAGCAAAATTTATCTTACCTGTCTTATTTATTTCTTTGTAAAACTGATGAAAAAATGCCCAATGATCAGACGTGTAGCATTTCGGTGGTTCTCGATTAATTTGTTTTACGTTAGAAATGAATGATTTTTTCCTATTTGTTTTTTAATCCTAACACATAATACTGATTCTGTCACAAGGATTTTACTTGAAGGAGGAATACTGTTTTTGGTCACCATAAAAGTTAATATGTTACCTTAAATTCAGCAAAACACTTTTGTTAACCGAATTTTAGTAGCTGTGCCAATTTCAAGAAACAGAGAATAGACAGTGTGCAGCATCAGTCGTATTTTATATGCTTTTTATCGAATAATTAAATGAGGCGGCCTGTCTGCTCCTTGTCTTATACCATTTGCGTCTCACTCTCGTCCAAATATAGAAAGACATACTGCCGAAAAAAAGAAATCCATTTCGTCTGAGGAGAGAAAGCAAGGGGTTAGCTCAAGGATTAATTGTATAGAAAATATCGGCAATGGAAAGTGTTGATCGTCCGACAGAAATGAACATGGGGATAATCGGACGAAGCGAAACAAAGACAAGGAAATTTATTACATGAAAATTATTTGGCAATGTCACCGATCCTGAGCAACTCTTGCCCTTTTCCTCTCCTTAACATATTAGATTCAGATAGCCATCCGAACTCTAATACCTGTGGATCTGAATTTCTCAGTTGTTCTTTGTAACTTTAAGATTCAAACGTGCACGCTTCTGCTTGAAACTATAGGGGAGAAAAGTGTAGTCCTCCGAGTATGATGGGGACTTGGTTTGCCTAATTTGCTTTCTTATGGTTTTTAAATTCTGTAAGGGGCAGTACACGAAAAATAATGTGCTGCAGAAAAGGATTTGACCTTGATCCAACATGACGATGTAATTGCAAAACTCATACACTTTCTTCATTCCTGTTTATTTGCTTACTGAGGTAGGCTGATTCAAGCTGCTTTTTCCTTTCATGACTCTTCTTATCTTTATTGTCGTTTTGCTTGGAATAAATCAGGTTACAGAAGTGCAAATATATATATTCATGATGTTAAACGTTGCACATTACGTTTAAGAAAGTCATCAGTCAACAGCAAACGAAACTACGAACACAAAATATGACTACTACTGATCGAAAAACGGCTACAACTTTTTTTAGAGCATGTGAATCTGGCGATCTGGAAGAAGTAACCAACCTTCTAAATTCGCTATCACTATCAGATGTTAGCGCATGTGTAAACAAGCTTCACAAGCAACATACCTATCCTTCTACCCAACTGACACCTCTTATGATTGCCAGTTTAAATGCACATGAAGGCGTAGTGGAAATATTACTTGATCCGAAGTATCAGTGTAACGTAGATGACAACCGAGGTCACTTGCACAATTACTATGACATTGGTCCCGACAAGATTACGGCCCTTGTCATTGCAATTAGAATTAAAAACTTTTCAATTACACGTCTGTTAGTCGAGGAAGGCAAGGTAGATGTCAACAGTTGTACGGAAAATAACTATACGGCTCTGCACATTGCATGTTACAATGGTCACCTAGATATGGTGCAATATTTGCTTGAACACGGAGCTGATGTATGCATAAGAAATCTTAATCAAACTACGATATTGATGACTGCAACTATTCAAGGACATCTAGAGGTTGTCCGATATTTGCTAACTGAAGTGTATGATAATGTTTCCGAAGCTATAAGTTTGAAAAACAAATTTGGACAAACAGCATTTCATTATGCAGCATCAAGAGGAAAACTCGCTATTGTACGCTGTTTGCTGACGGTGAATCAGTCTGAAACTGAAGCGATGATTAGTGCAGTAGACAAAGACGGAAATACGGCACTTCATCTTGCTGTATTATATGGTCGTCTAGAAATTGTAGAATTATTGGTGAGGACATTATATCAGAATGTAGATGCAGCGATTTTTAATGCTGTCAACAACGACGGAGACACCGTCCTCCACTGTGCAGCTATAGCAGGATATGTTGAGCTTATTAAATTACTTTTGACACACGCTGTCAAAATTGTAACAAATAAGCGTCATTTCACTCCTTTGATGTGTGCAATTGACAATAAACGGGAGGACATTGTGAAATTTTTCCAGACACATCTAAAAACGTCTGAATTTCTAGCCGATTTGGAATTATTTGGTCCCTTGAATATGTCTGCCAACCGTCATTCATACAATGTCGCTTCGAGACTCTATACATCATTTCGAAGAGCACTGGAATACAAATTTAACGATGCAAACACTCCCTTACCCAACAAAGTTCTAAAAGAGACAGTTGAAATATACGAATTTCATCAAGAATGTCAAACCCTTGAAGAACTTGAGACTATTCGAGATAATGAAAAGTTTCTACGATTAGAAGCTCTGATGAAAATTGAACGACATTTAGGCATCACGAGTCCGATATATCTACAAGCAGTTCTTAGAGTAGCACGCTGGTATACTGAACAAAAAATGTTTCGTCGTAGTCTCGATCTGTCACTCTATGCAAATCGAATAAATTCTGAACAAAAGTTTATAGATCAAACTTTGGTTAACAGCGAGCTCGAGGAAGTTCTAGGTCATATGATTCGAAGCGGGCAGATAGATCAGATTTCATTCGACAAGTGTTTAGAGCTTTTGGAATGGGTTCAACAAAATGTCGTTCTGAGTAGAAATGATTTTCATGACGCTAAGAACAGACAGACGGTGATTTTTATGTATCTAAGTTACATTGTAATGAAGGTAAGTATATCGTACGGCATCAAAGCAGAATTTGTTATCAGGCCCGAGAATTAAATTGCTTCTCTTCATTCTTTTAGATGGGCCCTTTATGGCCAGAAGACCAACAACGGTATAGCGTGTACAGAACGATATCAGATATAATCAAGTTAGACAGGCGCGACGCAGATGGTCGGACTGTGTTACATTTAGTATTCTCCGAAAAATCACCTTCATCTAGTTTAACAGATCGTTTAGGTAAGCCAGATGGTTTTATAAGTTAGTTAGCTCAGCTCTGACTAGAGATACATGACAACTCGCTGAACAAGTGTTTTTCTAAAAATTCTCGCTTATGACAGATCTTAGCATATGGTTGGATGCAGTTTTCCTACAGAGTTCCCGTTCGATTTTAGTTTCTAGAAAAAATCAGTTTGGCTTCGAAATCTGGGCTTCAAGGGTTTGCAAAACAGAATTTTTTAGGTTTCTGACCCTCTGTTCTCAGAATAGTTTTACAGAGATGATTTATCGCGAAGTTGATTTTCGACAATATAGCTCATTTAGCTTCTACTTGTGTTCCTGTGGAAAAGTTGTACAATTTGTACTATTTCCAATTTCATGGATAGTTTTAAAGTATCAGCGTGCCGATAGCGACTTGGGGTTTGCGCAGATTGACCAGATGATCCTGAACTGTCAGGGGAAAAAAGTCAGCCTTGGCCCATTGTGTTTGCTGTTAGAACTGAACTGGCAAAGAGAAATCATTTCTCATTTCAGAACTACATAAAAACAGCCGTAAGCTTTTTTTTTTTAATCATCAAACATGCGTGATTTGCCTAGAAACTAACGTTTTCAATGCCTCAAATAAACTCAAATAGCGCATCTGTAAGAAACTTCACAATTTTACGTCATTTCCCCTAAAGCCGCCGCACACTTTCAGAAACTGTCTAAAGATGTAATAATTCAAGCCAAAGACCCGAATTCTCTGCTGTTGGTGCAGTTTACTGAGCTGCGACAATGGCGTAATAATTAGCGTAGCTAATCAAGAATGTGTCGCCGCCGCCGCGATTGGACAGATTGCAAGCTATTATTTTGGTGCCTTGTGTGTAGCTACAGATTTTCCAGTGCACCAAAAAAAACTCACTATCAGACGTTTGTCTCTTCGAAATAACTCCCATCTTATTCGGCGCGGTCTTACTAAGTTCAAACGGTTCACAATTGTGTACTAAGTTACATCTATTTTCATTTGAATGTAGATTTTATCAAGTTCTTAGTTTCATTCCGTGGAACAGACGTAAATGCAATTGACGAGTTTCACCGGACACCACTCCACGCGTTGGCCATTCGTTTACCACACCTCGCATACTACTCGCAAGTCAGCATAATTGAAACTATTATCAACACACTGGTAGCTGCTGGTGCACACACAGAGGCAAGAGATAGTGAGAGAAAGACAGCGGTGGATTTAGTTCCACAAAACTGTATCCCTGCTCTCAAGGCATTATTTGGTACTAGACCACAAATTATTTTACGCTTGAAATGTTTGTCTGCAAGAGCTATTAGAGACAGTAATATCCATTACAATGAAGAAGTGCTTTCGAAAAAACTGTGTTCATTTGTTGACTTTCATTGAACTGATGGCCTGCAGTAGAAGTTAAAGGAGAAATTTTTATCCCAGCGTACGTTGATATTACCTTACCACTTTCATTCAACGTTGCCATGGTGTTTTTAACTCACTTCTTGCTTTTTAACTTAGCTTATTCCACTTTTTCTGTTTTTAATAAAATGTCTTTTTTATTGTATTTTATTTATCCGTCTTTCGTCACATTTCTTCAAGTAACGTAAGTACAAAGCTTCTTTATACTTCCACATCCCTTTCCCCACTCCGCCTTTCTTTCCCAGCCTCTCAAACACCCACACCGTCCTCCCCTCCCACTTCTACGGTCTTCCAACCTCTGAACCCGACCTCAACGACGAATACAAAGTCCTTCTAAAAATCTACCATCGCTACATTGCCACTCCCATCACCGACGATCCTCTCATCCATTTTGCCGCACCCGATGACGACTATCCAAATGATGCATGGCCTGCAGATCCGTTTCCATTCGGAATTATTCCGGCTGAGAGTCGACGATACTTCTTCCTCATAAGACACGGACATTATGTGGATACACAGAGTGATAAGACGAATTTGTTGAGCAGGTTGGGACAGAGACAGGCACAGGATGTGAGTGAAAGACGTTCTGTTAAGATAACTTTTCACTATCGATCTCAGACTCCGTTTTCCTTTAAACCTCAATCCCATCTCGACGTTAAAGCTGCGGATACCTCTGAAAATCTTTTTTGATTACGCCGAAAATTTGCGTTAGTGGATCTTTAGTTGCGGATATCATGTATTGCTAATTTGCGCTTAGACCTCTTTCCGTAACAAAAGAACCAAAATTCTGGACTGTCAGAAGGTGTTTATCATCCTTCATTACATTTTTATACTGCCCGCGCAACTGCGGAAACTGCGAATTTTAAAAACCGAAGCCTTTTGTTTCGATTTTATTAATATTTTTCGCCGAAAGTTGCTTTAGAATCGAACCCAGGTTTTACCGGCGAAAATTTTTTTTTCTCTATGAAATGGTTGTCTTTTTTCGCCTGAAATCTGGTCTTTTGAACGCACTTCCGAGCGAAACTCTGCTAAATTCCTTGGTATAATGCACATGTTTTAGAATTGGGTTTTTTGAGAAATAGATTTTCTAGAGTTTACGACAGGTGTTTTACTGAAAAAAGGTATGAATCCGTTTTTAAACTGCAACACTGAGATACGCATCGTTATTTAGACGGTGCGATCGATATTGTAAACTGTCTAACTTGTTCTCACTCCTTCATAAGGGCAACTGTCAGAACTCCACAGATAGGTTCGCATCGTCTCTTTTTGTATTTTTATAGTACACTACCCCTCGCAACTTTCTTGAATTTCTTTAAAAAAGCGGAAGAGTGTCTGAGGTGCTTAGTAAAATAAACTTTCCTTGTACTCTATAAAATCTCAGATGTGAAAAATCTTTTTTAAAGCCCCTACAGTTTTATCGATGCTGACCTTCTCTCTACGCCAATGTGCCAAACTCCTTCCCTTTGTCCTTTTAGATGGACCGACAAGTCAACAACTACATCCACGACATTGCACGTGATAACAATGTAGAATTCACGGATGTTCGTGTTCGTTTGATTACGAGTACGATGGCACGAGCAATAAACGTGAGTGGGCAGAGAAGAAAGAACATAAACTTGAGAGACTGTCCGAGCTTTATTTCCTAGACCATGGCCTGGATGCTGACTGCAATGCAAGGTAATTTCAACTACGACCACTCTGTAATCAATCTTGACCCGGCAATGATGGAAGAAAGTCGGCCAGCTGAACTCAAAAATCGATGGCGTTACTTTCAGGAAACTTATATGAAGCCAGAAGCAAATGATGGACAGAAAATGATCGATGTAACAATTTTTGTTGGACATGGTAAGTTAACTACGTATATGTTTGGGAAACTTCGATAAGTAAAAACCTTGTTTAGCTTAACGCCTCAAAAGCCCTAAAGAATGCAGCAATCTTTTGGGACGGCAGCTTTTCTTATTTCACGAAGATTTGGAGTTTTGGTTATTTTTTCGCTAGTTTTAATTTGAGAATTCTAAACCATAATATCTGTCATCAGCTTTTGGTCTCTGGAGAAAAAAATTGTGGCCTAGCTTATAGAAAATTGAATGCTGCTTCTGTTAGGGAGTTGCAAAGCTTTGTTAGTGTCATGACAGGATATAGTTGCAGAAAATTCATTTTCGCCTCAGATTGATTGTGAGTTTTGGAAAACTTAAGAACGTGGTGCTTTTGTCAATACTTTTCATGGAAAGCCTACATTACCTATTTGCCAGACACCGAGGGAGCTCGACGATCAAAGCTGAGAAATGTTTGCAGGTAATAAAAGTGTATCCACCTCACTTTAGCGGTAGGAGCAAATGAAGACTCTTTCGTTCTTATGCAGATATCAGACGTGATTGTTTCTTTCTGAACTCTTCCAGGTGGCCTGCTCACAGCTTTTTCCGAGATACTGAAAGCAATTGATATACATCGAGCTGCAGGTCTTATGGACCAACTGAACGAGAAGTGGTGGCGTCTACTTGACAGGACAGATGTTATACCTGGTCAGAGACTCGGTGAGTATAGGAAATGATGAGGTGATAGGAAACAACTTGACTTTCACCGAATACTTTTCTAGGCAGCTATGTCAATATGAATCATCTAACATGGCTAACATACGTTTTAAAAGGTAGTGATCCACCGGCGTTTGTTCAGAGAGTCGAAGTCAGCGAGGAGCCGATGACAGTTAATAATTTTCTGTTTGGTAAGTCATCAAAGTTTGGTACTTGGTAAGTTAGAGCATTCGGAAAATTAGAAACGCACTGCCAGAAAACAGGGAGTATGCTGGAATCTATATTTTTCGTACCGATTGGCTTTGCAACTAGAGATCTTAGAATCGTCGCAAGGGAAATACTTAATGCAATTTTGAGTTCGACACGAAAAGTCTATGGCAGAAAGTCTTCGGATAGGGGTCGTAGTCAGTGTTTAGCTGTAAAATTGGCAAAAATAGACAAACAAAACAATTTGTAGAGTTTAGTTGTCAAAAACCGTGCATCTAGGCTGCATGGACTCTGAGGAGGCAGTTAGCAGAGTTAGTACGATCTGATGAATTCTGAAGCAGCTAGAAATTTTAAAGTCGCACTATTTCAGTCAAAATATGATCAGAAACGTTTTTGTATTTTACATTGACGAAAAATTTTAAAGCAAACGATAAAATAGCTCTGAGTTTCGAGAGAAAATAATATTCAAATGAAGGTTTGGAAGTTAACAGACTCGTAAAATAACACGTTTTCAAATTTCGTGCTTTTGAGTAATCATGAAATTCGTTAAGCTTTTTGGAATTCTCTGTTCTAGCTAATTTCGAGCTTTGAATTAGTACAACTTTCATTTTCCAAATGAGACCGACAACTGCGCGGTAGCAGCTTTCAAAAATGAATACCAGCTATTTTCGGGAGGCTGCAGAGTACCTCGCCTCTCAGGATTTCGTTTTTTTCTTGCACTCCGACGAAGTTCATTTCAACAGAAAACATAATTAAAAACGACCTATGAAAACTGATGCAAATATACGGTTTTTGGAGACTTACAATATGAATTAAACTGCTTTTTCTTGGATATGCAATTTCAAATCCAATTTTAAAATAAAACCTTCGTCTTTATTTTATTCTGCACATTTACTTGGAAAACTTTTAGCCGAAAGATAACTCCAAATCTATATTTGCCAGGCCTTTTTATGCTCCTCCACTTTGATGATACTATTTTTGGGCGAATAACTGTACTGACGACACTCATTCTCTTGAAACTATCACTTCGTTAAGTCCAACAACAACAGCCAGGTTGTAAAAATTACTTTGGCTACAGGCTGCCAAAGAAATACGCTAACACTTAGTTCTGGCAACTGACTATTATACTTTGCAGAAAAAGAGAAGCAACTAAAGACCATGGAATCCTGTTTTTAGGATTCTAATAAAACTAGTGAAGAAAGGAATTCAAACGTTATGAACACGTAACTTGCTCTTCCCTTTCTGTCTTTCAGAAGAATCTCTCCGAGACGTCGAAGACCATGTCTGGGAAATGAAAGATGCCATCGTCGACCTCAAATGCTCTGCCAACCAATTCTTTCTTCGAGACAATCCAAACATTAAAGCTGACATCATTCACTACCAAGCAATTCGAGCTCCAGGCAACATTCCAGATCCTCTTGGACAACATTTGTACGCTATCAAAGATGCTTTCGACGAGAAATATGAGGTGCATCTGGTTCCACTGTTACAAGAAGCCTGTAAAGCTCAATGGTGGGCATTACAAGCGGGAGAAGGTTTGGGTGTTCATGCAGCAATTGGACCGGTAGTGACCACAGGGTGGGGATGTAAGTAGTGAGGAAGTTTTTGGGGTCATTTCCTAGGCAGTTAATTTACGGCCTGGCTTCATTCACGCAGTTGCAGTTCAAACATTGCTCGCGTTTTGCAGTGTTCAGAGTTCAGGAGGTCGGATAAATATTTTTTGCCGGTTCTTGAGAGCGTTGGTTGGTCTAAAAATTCGTCTGTTTCACATCAAAAACGAATGACTCGCTCTACTAAGTCAAGAACCGCGTTCTGGACTACAAGAACGCACTTTGTGTATTGAAAATTTGTCGTCGGGCCGCAAAATGCGTTTCGACGATCAAAGGATGTTTTTTTTGCTATGTGCCCAGATTTAGGTCACAGAGAAATGCCGGTAAAGTCTGAAAAAAACGCTCGGTTTGTGTATTGTGCTAGCGCCGAGGAAAACTGTGCTTCTTTCAGATGGTTTCTTGATTTAATCTTTGTGAGATCAAGGACAATTACCATCTGCAGGTGGTGGTCAGCTTTTCTAACGTCAAAAAGTGTGTATTATGCAACGGATAGAGCTGACTCTACTATACAGCTGGAAATTCTTTGCACACAATTACTTTTCAGTCGCTTTTTTTAGAAAAATCGTCCCGAAAAATTGCTTTTGCTATTTTTTTCCCATTTTTATAACAAAAAATCAATCTTCGAATTAATTTTCCATTTCTTAGGTCCCAAAACCAGTAACTTTGTCTACTTTTTTCGAAGTTTTCCTCTGAAAAAAAAGGAACTTAAGCTGTTTGCTTTAGTGTTGCTCCCAAAAGCACACTCGCTTGTATTACTCTGTTCAAATTTTTTGAAAAATACAACGATTTTTGATACCCGTTCGATTTTTTTAAGCTAACTTTTAATTTAAAAAAGTTTTCACTTTATTAAGCATTCTTATAAGTCGTCACAAAATTATTCAAAAATGTTTTTACACATGGAAAAAGTTTTGGAAAAGTTTAAATCGATTAATTTTTCCGACTATTTTGGGTTAAAACAATAATTTTTTTGTGAAAAAACTTAATTTTGACTTTTTTTGTACCTGTAAAAAAGCTGTGAAAGACTCTAACTGAATTACTCAAAGAGCACGAGAGTTCTAGGAAAAATAAAAAAGAAGCTGTTTTAATAGACGTCTAGAAAATCCGACAACACACTTCACTTAACTCTCTTGAACCCCCCTTCCTCATTCCTTTCAGCATCAACATCACCATCGGCAAGAACAACACCACCATTAAATTACATGCCTGAAGACGACGATGACGATGACCACGCTGATATTGACGAACGACGACCTTCTGGCGACAGGGATGACAGACGAATGATCGTCGATTCCAGCGTACCTGACACATCATCAAGTTCATCATCGTCGTCCTCCTCGTCTAGCTCGCACATGTCAGCACACGGTGCAGATACCCCGATGAGTCTGCCACGATCGGATGACGAAGGATCTCAGCAGGAAGAAAGAGATGATCTGGACATGTCAGTGTCGTCCGACTTTGACGAGGAAGGATACCGGCCGCCTAGAGCTCAAGCACCAGCAGGTAGGTCTACTTTTGTTAACTTTAGTACAAAAGCTGGAGAACATCAACCTCAAACTATATCTAAAGGACCCAGATAACTCGAATTTTATCGCTGGGGAAACTGTGTTTTTAATCTCTTGTATTTCAAAAAATCTTTATCTTCAGAAACTTATTGTCAGCAAAGGCCTGAAATATTATTCATTAACTTTCAGCTGATTTTAGTTAATGCAAAAGCGTGGAAAATTATTTCCGACAAAAAATTTTTTGAAGATTTTGAGGAATTTTGCGAGACACGAAGTAATGTAGAAGCCGATGTAGCCTTAATTGTATCGAAAGTGAGTCTGAGATCAAAAGTTATCTGTGTTGAGACTAGCCTACTGCGTTAAGTTAAGTCTAAGATCTTTTTAAGGAGATTTAGAAATTCAAGAGTCTCGTGAGCTACCGAAATTTGAATCTCACAGTCTGTCAGTTTACTCCAATTTAGAATGGTAATTCGAAAGAAAAGTTGTAAAATACGAGTTTCATTACTCTCTATCTTTCGAAAATTAGGTTCTTTTGATAAAAATAACTTTTTTTTCGATATCTCTAGGAGCACACAAACAGATAACTTTTTCTCAGCACAAATTCCTAACGGAATATAGATTGCTGTCTTACACAAAAACAAACTTGAACAGAAAAGAATGCCAATGCTTCAGCCAACTTTCAGAAATGACTATTTACTTTCCCATGTTTTTCGTGACCTGAACGAAGATCTAACATCAAACTTCGTAAGAACCATCGATATTTTCGCTCATCCATTTTTCTGAAATAAATTGTAAAAGCTTTTTTGCTCCCAATATAAACAGCATTTTTTTTAGCATTCAGACGGACAATATTCCTCGCCCAGTTTTTCAAGGAGCATCTTAACGATAAAATTATTTATGAGTAGAAATGTAAGAAGTTTTGCTACCTATCTTTTCTTTCTCTAGTCTCTCAAGGTCCACCACACTTCCTTGACCATTTTCAATTCAACCAACAGAATACCTTCATAACAACGGGAGGCGGTGATCGACGTTTTAGACAGGGAATTAGACAGGCACATCGAGCATTAGGAATAACTGCAGATGATGTAGCTCTTCATATACAGGGACAAGGTAACTTTCTATGCTTTACTTGTCAAGATTCTTGTTTGCAAAACTCTATTTTTTATAGGTGCAGGAGGCGATCAGTGAGGTCTTCCAACGAATGCGTTAATGAAAGCATCTCTGTCTTATAAGACCTCTGTGATACTTTTAACACTTTAATATATGAATTATGGACAATAAAGGGAAAAGTTTGGGGAAATTGACGCTGTTCAGGTGATATTGCTTTTCTTTTATATTCTGATATCATTTCTTGAGATATCTTGCTCAAACTTGATTTTGATTCGACACCCAACTGAGAATTTTCTTAAATGACAGGGACCAGTTTCCTCCAGAGCTTGAAGTCAGACGAAGTACTTTTGAAAACCGAGTTTTGTGGTTTTCTCGATCCACTGACTCTGAAATGCCCACAGGTCGGTTCAAAATTTCTACCTAAACTCGGTTTGTCTTTCAGATTTGAAAACATGCGGCAGAAATTACGAATCGACCTCTATCTCAACTCAAGTTTTAATTTGACATCGCTAGCTCGCTCCTAAACTCGACACAGATCACATGTATTTGACTTTTCACTGCTGCTGGACAAATATAACTGCTTTGAATATCCAGAACAGACCATCTTGCGATTAAAAACAATGTGAGCACATAACTTGAGATGACCGTGCACTTTTTCAATCAATTCGCTCGACCATTCTATTTCCCTTGTCATCTTTCTTGACTTCATACGTTGCTTCGCCAACTCTGATCTTATCTCCAATTCTTGCCCCTCCCAAACTGGTGACATCGTGTGCAATTGTATGAATACTTCCTCCCGTTTCCATTGCTATTTTCCAAAGTGCCGGATTGATAGTGTATCGTGTGTGTACATCCTTATTGCAAACCATAATTTTGTAGATCAGTTTCTGTTTTTATTAGGCAGTTCTATAACAATTTAGCATTTTATAACAGACGTTTGAGAAATGAGAGCATTTTCTTACAGCACTACGGCGTGTAAAACAACTCGTGCTTTCTAATAACTCAGAACCGACTTTGTTGAATTTGTAGTTCTAAACCGGATAGTTCAAGCTGCAATACTTTTAAAAACAATAACGATCTCTCTAGCTCATTTGATCTTCCAAGAAATGAATTTGGCTTCCTTTTGTATTTCTCTCTCCCTAACTTGAGAAAACGAAAAAACTTTAATTTCTTCATAATTACCCTTCAATGAGTTAAACTTAATACAGTTCAGATCTTGCTTTGTACCATTTACTTCTCCAAACAGCACCAAACTTCCTTTACACTTTTCGTCTACTGGACACTTGTAATCATCGCCTCTCGTATCTCGACTAGCAGTCAGGTGGAGAATTAAACTCTTCTTGTCTTCGTCGACGCTATAAGTTAGCAGACCGGACCGAAGGACAGATTGGTAAGTTCGAGGTTTTTCGTTGGTCTCGAAGGACTGACTCTGTGGCAACGTCTGTTTCCAATTTGTGACTTTGATTAGCCAGGGTTCGGTACAAAGTTCTTTACCGTAGTACAAGATTTTGCCGGACTTTTCAAAGATGGTGACGTACTTTTCGCTTTTAAAGTAATCGCAAGCGTAGAGCAGGACGATTGAGTCGATGTTGAGCGTTCTGAAGTAGGCTGGAGAACGAAATAAACTTAGAATAAAATTTTGCTGTCAAAGATCTTATCCTGAATATACTTCTTCTTGTTCAGGAACAAGGAGATCGCTTTCAAATTGTTTTTTGCCACTAAATTGGTATGCAGTGCATTATAGATTGTGTTTAACACAAATTTACGAACGATTCGAAAGTTATACGCTACCGTAAATAGTCGCTGAATCATGTTTTTACAACAATAGATTCTGTGACCCAGCTGCAAAACCAAACTTTCGATCACGCAAACGAAAGAACACACTGAGGAACCTCTGAGAAACTTGTCTTCAAATTGTAACTCTGGATATTAAGATAGTTTCTGAAAGCTGAACCACTGCGATCAATATTACAGAAAAAGCACCTAAAAAGCAAAACTTTTGACTAAGTTTTTCCTAGGTTTTTTGAAATAAAAAGCTAACTTCTGCGGAGGCTTTTTTCTAGGTTATTGTTTTCCTCCAGAACATGTCCAAATTAGAGTCTGAGAAAAGCACTCAAATTCTCACTTTTCATTGCTGGTATTATCTACAGCGTGCACTTGAGAAAGATTGTTGCAAGCAGTTATGCTATTTAAAGAGAGAAAAAAGTCTAAGGCAAAGTAGATTCAGAGCCTAAAGTCGGTTAGCTCGGTTACTTCGCACAAGTTATAGAAAAGAGACCTACGCGGTTTGTGTAAAGATCGATTCTACTATTACTACCTGCATCGAGTGTCATCGGCCGATAAATCACCGTTCCTAACCACCATGTTTCCTTAATCTTTATAACTAATCGAATTCTTACACCGTCTGGAATACCCGCAACATCGAATACGTTGGATGCTAAGTCAAAAGTCAGCGTTTTCGGGGAGTTCAATCCTATTCTAGTGAACCATGAGGCACTGTCACCACTGACGGAAATAGTGATTAGGATGTCACTTCCGCAAGGTTTTGAAGGTGATTGCGAAGTTGGAGCTGTATAAAAGATAGAGAGATATGTACGATCAGAGATATGTAACTTGATCAGATTTGCAGAGACTATGTTTCCAACGCATTTTATTTCAGATGCGTTCAGAAAACTTCATAAAAACACCGTGTAATAATATTTGTTAAGGATCTCTTTTGAAATGTGAATCGAAACTTTTTTGCAAAATGCTTGCACTTATTTTTTTCACAAACTCAGAGTATGTGTAAAGTGAATTCCCAACGAATTCTGCCAATTAACGTCTAGAATGGCCCCTCCAGTCTCCGTGATGATTCGCTTTCATTGCACCTTGCATAAGCTACATTGTGCACTTTCAGCCTTTGCGTCACGCGCTACAATGGAAAGTTAAGTAAGTTTATTCTGTTTCATTATTGTTGTATGAGAACCATTTTACTAATTTTCGCCTTTACCAATTATGAAAAGTTAAGTTCAAGTCAAAAACCTCATACAGCACTTTCCGGCAGGTAAATTCGAAAAAAGACTAACAGTATCAAAAAATCCGTTTTATATTTGTCTCTACTTTTTATAAGGTATCAGAACAAACATTTAACATATGTACAAGATTTTTGCATGAATGCGACTGTATATTATTAACTGAGACTGAAAACTAAGTTTCAAGAAAGGAGACACATTTCTTGAGGCCGAAAACGTAATACTAACTATTAGGCTTCTTAAAAGTTAAAACTGCCTTATCGACTTTGACATCTGATATTTGTTGAAAAGTTCTTAACTCACATATTTTCTTGGTTGCTCTTGATACCGCTTCTTTAATTTCTACTAAGCCTTTATCGTCATAGTTCTTTAATCGAGCACTTTCCACTATTGACTGACTTTCTTCGAAAGGCTGTGCTAGAAGGAAATTTGAAGGTCTTCTCTTCATCAGTAAAAAGTTTGTGAGGCAAATCTGTAGCTCCGACTTACCTGTCGAACGAAACGGCATACTGCACAGTATGCCTGATTGTCCAAATTTCATAAATCAAAATTTTATGAAAATTTTTACAAGTTTCATAAAATTTTTCATTTTTATGTAACTTGTGGGTTAAAAAAAATCAACATCCAAGTTTGCTAAATTTTATGAACTTGTTTTGTGATTTATGCTGTTGCAGGTTTAATTGATTAGTTGCTTAATTAATTGTAGTATTAATATGTTACCTAGAGACATATAACATTATATAATTGGTATATGTCACATAGAGACGTGTGTTTGTGGTGTTTTAATTGAAAATAATGATTTATTTAAT